AAAAGGAATGTGATAAGTTGCCATGCACTTGAAGAGCTTATCGCTAGAACATAAAAAAAAGAAACTGTTCGACAAAATGATTCTAGATTTTCTACTTTGTCTTCACCTGCAATGCCCTGACACTCTGAAACAGCAGATGTTTAACTTCTAACTGCTGTAATAATAGGGGGGAAGGTGGGAGGGGAAATCAGTGGAGGAGCAAGGGGAGGGCAAGGGAGGAAACTCTCTACAAAACTGCATCATGGAAAATAATAAAATCAAATTAAGAAAATACCAAGAAGGTCCACGGACTGTTACAATGATCTGTTGCAGGTAACGAATCACCTCAAAGCTGAATGGCTTAAACCAACAATCATTTTATTATCTCTCACTGTTACTGTAAATAAGGAATTTGGAAGGGGAGGGAAAACTTATGAAAAAAAGATCTGTATTGCTGCTAGGACTAGTGATCACTTCACTCTTAACAAAAATGATAAATGGACCCAAATCCTGTTTCTGAACTGAAACTTGGCTGCTTACATTAGTGAGTCTTCATAAACAAGTGAATTTCTCCTCCTAACTGGAAAAACATATGTCTCAGCCCTGACACCGTTAATACCAAAGGTTCTTATAGTAAATGCTGTGGCACAGTGAGTGGCTTAACCTCTCCCTTGGGCTCCTACATTCCACACTGAAGTTTAAGTCTTGGCTACTCTGCTGAAGCAGAACCCGGGCTCACGTGCTTGCGTCATTGCCCACCCACGTGGGAGACCCAGGTCTAGTTGTAGATTTAGCCTAAGTTACCCTGGCTATTGTGCCCATTTCAATGGGGAACCTACAGGTAGAACATTTCTCTCTCTTTCTCTGATACTGTGTCCTTAAAATAAATTTTAAAATGAAACAAAACTGTTATGGAAAATAAAAATGATGAGTTCTCCTTGCACATAACCCAGAGTTAAGACATTCTTTTTTCCCAGCCTTCTGTATGTATATATGTTTGCATGGAGGCATACTTGTATCTACTCCATACATATTATAGATGCGATATGTAAATTGTTTCTTGTGCCCAAAACTAACTTCTGATTTGTCCAAATCCAACACATATAGCGCCTGATTCCTTGAATGGCTGTGAAGTCAGTATTGCACAGGACCAATGCTATAGTCGCTATTCAACAGTTTCTTATCGATGGGCATTAACCACAGAGAAGTTTCTTTAGTGGGAGGTTCTGTTGAAGCAATAAATACATAGGATTATAGACCGCTAGACAGATCCCATCCAAGTGAAATGCAATTCAAAGACAGTTTCAAAAACAACAGTTTAAGCAGCTTAGAAATTTTGAATGATTTTATTAATTTCCCAGTTTTGAATGCTTATTATTAAACGGGAAGGCTTTCATTATTGCCTTGCGTATTTATCAAGGAAATGAAACCTTTCCTTTTTCTTGAAGTGTTTTGACAGAATTGCTGAAAACAAGAAAGGAAGGGTCTCCAGGGAAAGCCAACACACCAGACAAATGAGATTTTGCACTCCTCCTTGGGAAAGGGCCTATTTTCAGTGAGGTTCATTCTGTGCCCAGTAGATATCACATCCGAGCAGACCATCATAAAAATGTCCAGCTCTGCAGACTGCTCCCGTAAGAAGCCTTTAGCACACTGCATCTCTTTAGTTGTTTCAAAAAATTATGGCCAGCTGTAAAGACCTATTTGACACATCATATAAATAATCAGTAACCAACCCACAGAAATTACATCAAATAGCAAAGCCCGGTAATTCTCTTAGGGACTCCATCTTTCAAGCCAAGATTTTTGTAGTAGAGATCTCAGCAGAGCCCAGTGCCCTTCCGGCCAGTTTTTCATCTAAGCACGCCCCCCTTGGCTTAGGAGAGCCCAGATTATAGACATCAGCTTCAGAGGGTGGGATTCTGTAGGTTCAAATGAACACGTGCCAACTCCTTGGACTTGGGGGGGGGTCTCGAATGCTCCAGTTGGAAACTGTGCGCATCCAGCTTGGCTAATTCATCATACACGGTGGGCATTCAACAAATACTTCTGAGTGAATGAATAAAGGATTTTGAAAGGCCACATACTGCCAAGCCATCTTCTGGTGACAATACATTTCCAATAATTCTGAATAGGAAAGAAGGTTGGAGCTGGCAACAACAGAGATGGTGAAAGAGTACTTAAAAACCAGCATCTTTGCTGATCATGGTAAAACCATGAATTATATTAAATAAAGAATGTCCCAAACTTTCTCTTCTGCCTGACCCTCTTATTCCTCTTTTCTCATGCTCTTTTGCCCGTGACAAGTGGCCAGGGAAGCACCAATCTTGCTGTGACAGGTTCCTCCCCTTGTATAACTGGTACTCAGGACAGTCTTGATTAGCTCACATGAAGACCGCAGTGACAGATACAGCTGAAGCATCTTTAACTTCTGAATAAAAGATACAGAAGTTCTTCCTCAAGGCTTTATGTTGCAGATTATCCCTGCATTCAAGTGGAACTCTTAGTTCTTCTGCACAACCCTAACCCTTCAAATGCATGGACTTCACTCTGATTCTTAGGAGTTGTTAAAAAATCTAAAATGCTTGTGGCCCAGATACGGATTACTTATCACCTGTTAAATATATCCATAGTTTGAAAAACTGGTTATAGTCAATTACAATACACATAGCTAGACTAGGACATCGATTTTGTACATTTTGGCTCATCTGAAAGGATTTACAAATGGAATTATTGAAATGTGCTTATCATTAGCAGTTTAAATAAATGGCATTTATTTTGGCGAGATGCCTTCGCAGCTGTTTTGAGATAGACAGTCAGCAGGTTATCACAGTGTCTGACGTTAAAGGGAGGTGGAAATTCACAGGAGATCAGCGCATTTTCAAACTTTTGAGCTTGCATTTCCCCCCAAAGAGACAAATAGTTTTATCAAAAGCTAGAAAAACTGGCCCTGAAATTACTGCTCCATTCGCACCTTTGTGATTTCAGTAATCACCCCCCTCCCCATGTGGAGAACTAATAGTGTTTCCTAAGAGAGGAAGTCTTCAAGTAAACTCTACAGTTCTAGGCTGAAGGTTAATACAGAAGTCAGTGCAGAGGAGCACAGTGGCAAGTTGCAGAAATCTCTGAACAGCACTGGGAACCTGAGTTCAGGTCCTAACTTGGAGATGATCATTAACTAGATATGCACATGTCGTGAGTCTTGAAATTATTCCAGGAGAAGTCCATGCAGCTCTAAACCCAGCTCCAGTATTATCAGGTCTTGTCCAATGGCATCTTATCATCCATACAAAGATCACAAGGGTCTCTACCCAGTACATGGTGTGAAAACACAGTTCCCAGGCCCATGGTCCAATTTTTTAAAACATATTTTCATTTTGAATTTTGAATTATGTGGTACAATTTTGTATAGGCTGGGATTCCCCCCCACCGCCCAAACTCTTACCTCCCATCAGATTTTTTTCCATTTTGTTACAATAGTGTAGTCCTTCATAAGGAATCATAATTCTATTAGTCTCTTATTTAAGTGTACCCAACATTGTTGGTACAGAAACTGTCAGACAGTCCGGCATCCCATTGTCTACACATGGCCAAGAGTTTCATTGGGAATCCGTTTTTCCTCTGAAAGCAGGGATGCATGTTCCTTTATTCCCCACATCTGTATATGACAGATCCCAGTACTCCATCACCATACATTTCCATAATAGAGAAGCCATGAAACCAGGTAAACAACTGGTATGAGTTAGAACAGCCACAACAACAACAACAGATTACAGCACCATGAAAAAACGCGTCACTGAGTAACCAACACATGAGTGACAAAAAGAAAACAGAAGCCTCTCAGGAAAAATGATGCCGCCATGTAATCCATGAGCCAGTGATGAATTTGACAAGAGAAAAGAAATCATTTGGAATAAACAAAACTGAAATAAAAAGCATCAAAACACATGGGATACAGCCATAAGAAGCAAACAAAGAATAGTATGGATCAGATCACTGAAGTTACACTTTCCATTTTGGTTTCCTTACATAACAGAAAATATACAGTATTTGTTCTTTTGTGATTGACTCATTTCACTGAGCATAATGGTCACTAGTTGGGACCACCTGGCTGTTAGTGGTGTAATTTCATTCTTCTTAATAGCTGAATAATATTCCATGCAGTAGATGTAGGCTAGTGTAGGCTAGTACAACCACTGTGGAAATCAGTATGGAGAGTACTTGGAGAATTGCAAATAAACCTGCCATATGACCCAGCTATCCCACTCCTAGGAATATACCCAATAGAAGTGAAATCTGCATATGAGAAGGGGATCTGTAATCCTATATTTGCAGCAGCACAATCTACAATAGCAAAAACATGGAAACAATCAAGATGTGCGGCCAAAGAAGAGTGGTTAAAGAAACTGTGCTATATCTACCCCATGGTCCAATTTTAATGTCTTGGCTTTAACTACGATTCATGTAAAAGCAACATCACCTGACACTATAGCTACAGGAGGGACAAAACATCATTATAGCTATCTGGTTTCAGAATACAAAGAAGGCTTATTGGAAAAGTTGCCTTGAACATGGCTTTGAACGGCTAGCAAATTTCCAGTTTCAACAATAACAAGCCACAAATCAAATTTTATGATGCTCTAGAAACACCAAAAAATACTTTTCATTTGTCACTTTCATATAAAAAGTAAAACCTGGTCAATATACTTTGAGCAACACAGAAATGGGAAAGTCATTTTACCCTTAATCACAAAAAGATGACTCATGGCAATAAATTTTATCTTGTTCTTTTAACAACAACAACAAAAAAACCCTATCAAAACATATACCTTGTGAAACTATAAACGTCTGGCAAAAAGCTGATGATTAACAAGAATGTTGATAGAATGAATACCCTATAATTTTTAATCCAGGCAATGATGTTCAGTTTTCTCTTTGGGTTACATTAAGTTTAAATCCACAGACACATGAAAATTCTCTCACTGCAAGGCTCAGTAAAGAACACCATGAAGAAGTCATACCTTGAAGTCGTAGGTGGCATCTGGGTTTTCGTCACAGGCAATAACTTCAGGTGCCATCCAGTAGGGAGTGCCAATGAAAGTATTCCTCCTGCCCACTGTTCTGTCAAGCTGGGCACTTACGCCAAAGTCCACTATGAAGGGAACATCAGTGAATAAAGTGATAGGTATTGCAGGGTGACAAAATCATTGTGCCATTTATTCTATCAAGGTGGAATACACGTAACCCCAGTCCTACCATTTGAGATATTTACACCTGTGTATTTCTGTGGCAACAGGCACACTTCTTTTACTGGTGCGACCATGACCAGCATCCACTGGGAGCACATTTTCCTCCTCCTTGATTGGCATTCTGTCCCCAACCAACAGGAGCTCTCCAGCACCTCACCGCCTTGTCTGTTTTCTGTCTTTACCTTCTGACTAGTCTGGTACCATTTGAGTAGTCAAGTCCTCAGGGGTCACCCATGCTACATCAAGGTCACACCATCCTTGCTTTGAATGCTGGATCAAAATCCTTCCCACATACAAGGATACTTCAAAAAGCTCGTGGAACACAGAGTCAAATGTTTTGAAGGCAAAAATTTGAAATATGTGCAATTTTTTCATGATCTGCATTTCCATGATTTTCTGAAGACCACTCACGCATACGGCATTTTGTCTGCTCACTTGCTTTTACATACGCATTTGGGCTATTTGTGGTTTTTCAGGACTGCAAATATGCATTTTTAATTGCAAGTGCAAAGGAGGAAGGTATTATGTTTGGCTACATCAAAGCATCCTAGATAATAGATACAAGGGAACTTACTTTGTTGTAATGTGCAGTTTACAGGGAGCTAAAAGTGATTAAGAGTTACAGCCTAAAGCAGTCTACCTCAGCATGCAAGCATGCATCTCGTTTCTGCTATCTAGGAATCAACCTCTTGGTGCTTCAGTTTCCAGATTCTGTAAGATGAGGGTGATTACATCTACCCAGTGCTGCTCGGATGCCTCTGCGACATAATCCTGTGTGGGGGCTGGCTGACGCCATTCTCTCAACAAGTCAACACTAACTAGTGATGACGGAATATTCTGAGATACGCAGAAGGTGGCCTATACATGCAATAGCTTGGCCTATAGGATGTACGCTTTTGTTTTTAAAATGGAATATTCATGAGATAAAAGCCTGGCCCAAAACACTAGGAGAAAAATTGGAAATTGCGTATTTTAACAAAATAGAAGGGCAAATGCTTCAATCTCCAAAAATAAATCAGTCGGCTCTTGCTCTTATTCACGTATGCTAACAGCAGGCACATGCTTGTTGGGATTCTCATGTTTTCACTGTGGTGAGGATCCTAGTGGATACGACAAAGAAAGGATTCTCTCATGGATAACTCCGGCAGGTGAAGTGGAGCCTTGAGTATGTACAGTACCAAACTGAACATCCAGTTTGTACAAGTGACCCGAGTAATGAGATCCAGCCAAATGCACCTAAAATTTAGGGGTTATCATAGGAAGTAATTACGTCTAACTGCGGTTATATTCAATGTACAAAACTGAGTCATCAGTGTTTTGCTAGTGCGGCAATAGAATAAGCAACCTGCGTAACACAGATCACCATTGCGAGTCTGTCCCTTCATTGCATTCCATTCTTTCTACACATGGATTAAGTACACGGTTCTGTTCACCACCTATACGCACTTCACTCCTCAAAATGCTCCAAGGGAGTATTTAAATGGATACATTTCTTTCCCTTTTCAGGGCAATGCCCTCTAAATGCACAGTGCCACAGTTACACTAGTTCTTTTTTTAGAGGCGGCTGAAATAATCCTACCAAATCCTTGCAATTCCTAGGCTCACTGGGTTCTGTTCTTACCTAGCTTAACTTCCGCATTTTCTGTCAGCAACACATTTTGACCTTTAATATCACGATGAATCACTTTATGCTGGTGCAGGTGACTCAGCCCCTGGAATGAGAGATAATACAAACATAAGCCAGGATGCAAATAAACAGAATGAAAATGGTGCCTGCAACAATTAAACTCACCAGAGATATTGCAGAATGACATTTGCGTCTTTCCTACATTCATGATGCTGTGCTACCCATACATAAGTGATGCTCATAAACGGACAGGCACAGGTGGTCCTTGCAGTAGGAAAAATGCTTGCAAATCAGTCCTTGATTTGGGGAAGCACAGGGCCACACCAGTGACACATTAAGAGTTGCAGACTGCCTGCAGTAGCAAGTTTGTACAGAGTCTCTCCACACAAAACTTAATAATCAGAATTAAATGAATCCCTATTCTAGGTGGGGGACAATATTTGGACTTAAATGTTAAAACTTGGGGCTGGCACAATAACTCAACAGGCTAATCTTCCACATCCCAGAGGGGTGCTGGTTCATGTCCCAGCTGCTCTACTTTCCAACCAGTTCCATAGTGTGTCTTGGGAAAGCAGTAGAGGATAGCCCAAGACCTTGGGTCCCTGCACCCACATGGGAGAAATGAATGAAGCTCCTGGCTCCTGGTTTCAGATTGGGTCAGCTCTGGCTGCTGTGGCCGTTTGGGGGAGAGAACCAGCAAATGGAAGGGCTCACTCCATGTCTCTCCTCCTCTTTGTAAATCTGCCTTTCAGGTAAAAATACATAAATCCTTAAAAAGGTTAAACTTCTCTGTTATATCATTTTAATTAAGCAGAATTAAACATTTATCAGATCAGCCAAAAAAATTTCCCGTAGACTTTAGCCAATGTGGCTAACTTAGAAGGAAAAATGAGTCTTATTTCCTCTATTGGCAGTTATCACTGAAATTTGTCATGCTTTATGATATTTCCAAGGTTGCACTCATTTTCTGAGACACTTAATCAGTCAATGCCACTGGCTTGCATGTCACTTATCCATGAATTACTCTGACTGGGATGTGTATGTGGTACAGACTCCTGTCAGGTAATCACATAGATTTCCTATAAATCAGAAAATAAACAAATCTAGAATTGTAGTCTTTCAAGTATCTATGCCAGTACCAGTTTCCTTGCTCCTGGGTATCTGAATGTTATCATTTTATTATTTATGATTTTCTGTTCCTTTCATTTTTTTAAAAAAGATTTATTTTTATTATTTTTTTATTGGAAAGGCGGATATACAGTGAGAGGAGAGACAGAGAGGAAGATCTTCCGTCCGATGATTCACTCCCCAAGTGAGCGCAACGGGCCGATACTATGCCGATCCGAAGCCAGGAGCCTCTTCCGGGTCTCCCACGTGGGTGCAGGGTCCCAAAGCTTTGGGCCGTCCTCAACTGCCTTCCCGGGCCACGGGCAGGGAGCTGGAAGGGAAGCGGGGCTGCCGGGATTAGAACCAGCGCCCATATGGGATCCCGGGCGTGCAAGGCGAGGACCTTTAACCACTTGCGCCACCGCGCCGGGCCCTGTTCCTTTCATTTTTACAACATAGTATGAACATGATAGGAAGAGAAAGCTAAGTCTCTAAATTCCTTTGTGGGAGAAATTCCACATAAGTAAAGACATCAAAAAGGGCCATGTGCCCAAGCAGGCATGGGAAGAGAGCATGAAAGTGCGGTACCGGGCAGTGTGAGACACTGGTTTGGGTGTTAAAGCATCACTATTCTTCCCTGGTCAGTTTGGCTCAAAGCAGACACCACACAAATTTAGATCTTAGCTTTCACACTATGCAAACACTCCACAGACATCTAACAGAGGCAGTTGTGATCCCTGAGCCACCTCTACCACCAGCACTGGCAGAAGCAGACAGCGAAGTGTTTAAGTGAGCCAGCCGCAGTCTGCATTCACTACAGTCACACAGTACGTTACTAGGTTCCTTGTGATCGGTCTGTGGCCAGGCCCCTACAGGTGATCAAACGTGCCTTCCAGAGAGTCACCTCATTGCAGAGGCTGGTATCACCTGGAATATAATCTAGCTCTCAAAGGCAAGTCTTGGAAACATAGTGAAGACCAGTTTCAACCTTTGCTCCCTTGACTTAACAAGGCAACATCGTGAGTGAATGGCAATCGCTGGGCAGTGCAGGGAGGGCGGCTCAGCAGACACACAGCAGCCTCTGCGTGAGCAGCAGAAGAGTCAGTGTTGAGTGAACCAGACAGGCCCACTAAGTGCCTCTCCCTGAAATGAGCTCAGCAAACAGGACGACACTGTTGAGGTTGCCTGATGGTGGGATTTGTGGGCAAACTGGGAAAACATGAATAGTTTTGTCTAGTAGTTGTGATCGACTTAAAAGGCTCAAGCTCAAAGATGTTTTTAAAGGAAAATCCACTAAACTAGATTGTATATACAGGAGTGACTAGACTTCATGGGGTGGGATGGGACTGCAGCATTAATTAAATTCAATAAGTGACAGACTGTCAAATGGATTCAAGTAAGCTATCAGAATCTCTGTTCAAGCAGTCTCGAAATGGGACACTGCCTCTATGATTGGACATAACATTTCTAATTGGATTCTTCTATTGGAGGACATCAGGCAATGTCAGCCCCCACACGATCGAGCGCATGGCCTCCCCAGAAGGGCTCTTCATTCCAGCAGACCTCCATGCCCAGCCAGCACCACCGCGCCACCACCACTGTCAGGATAAACCTTGAAGGAGATTTCTGCCACATCATGGAATCCCACTGCAAGGTTAGAATACAGCACCATGCTCCCTGGATATTACCTGGTCCCTAAAGCTGTGGTCAGGGAAACCATCCCCTACTTGTCACCTACCCGCAAGATCTCTCTGCAGATGTAGGCAATCCACTCCTCTTTCAGCGTGTTCCCTTTGGTGTTCTTGATCAGGTCTGTGACAGAGCCAGCGCCGCAAAACTCCATCACCAGCTGGCAAAGGAAGCAAAGAAACCATTACTGTGATTAACCTGGATAGTTTCCATACAGCTAGGATAAGAAAGGACACAGCCCTCCAGCTGGCCTCTTTGGAATGCCATTCCTGCAAAGTAGTGATCATAAATCAGTGTATGAAACAGACTCTTTCGTTAATTTCTTTCCAATATAACAGAAAAAAAATGGCTAGTTTTAAACCTGCAAGTTATAGTTAGATATCGGAGGGGAAATATTTCAGTGTTTCTAAGAAATGTGAACAGGTTGGTGGCTTAGACAATGATGAGAGTACCTCTAGCATTTGACCTCACTTTTCCTAAACAAACAAGATCACTCCTCTATCGGCCAGAACATTGGTTCTCCAGGCAAACCCAAGTTAGGATAACAGAAGTGCACACTGTTTATGCTATTGGTTTGCACGTAACACTGTAAGCTGTCAGAGTGGGGACTGTCTGTTTCTAATTAACTTCAGCAAATGTTCCCAGGAGGTTTGAACACATCAAATAAATTCAATAAACAATAAACTCTAATTTAGCACCTTTCATCCAAAAAGCTCCAAGCATTCTATAAATACAAACTCATTACAGCACTCAGCAACTTTATAAAATAGGCAGAGAATAAGCATTGCCCTTCTTAACTGGGAAAGAGAGATTAGAGGAGGAAAAGCAATCTGTGTGCTTTCACATTCATTTTCTAGGCTTAAGAATATGAACCCAATTCCATTCTTTCTCCTCTTAAAGTAACTCTTCAATGAAAATCACCTTACTAGGTGCTTATATTACCTTTTTTTGGTAATTATGTGAGAAGACTTCAGAATAACTAGCAATCAATCCATGGTTTGATGCAAGAGAAAGAACTAAAATGAAGTCAAACCAGTAATGGTTTTGGCTTTGTCCACATGTAAACTGCTGAGATCAGTACTATGTCAACAGGTCCCCAGAATACCTACAAGCAGACAAAATCTTAAGGCAGAAGTTATACTTTCTGTGTCTCCAGATGCCCCATAGAAACTCATTTTGTGAATGCAATTTCCAATATCCATTCTTGACTTGACGATGCCACTAGAAGTTTAAAAAAAAACTTTCACATTTTCTCTAGAAAGCCACTGGAGGTCTTATCATTACAAAGTATAATACAAGAAGTTTGTGGTAATACGGTACAAGCAGAAGAAGCATTTGTAGGGATACTGGAGAAATGTCTGAATAGATTCTATTACAAGCGGGTAGAAAATTACATATGATAGCTAGCAGTGAATGTGAAGAAAGTCCCAATGGCCAAGGTTGAGATCATCTCAACATCTAATAGCAGAATGGTCTAGACACACATCAAATACACTGAATTCAATGCAATCATAAAGACAGCCTCAACAATCACATCACTGCCTCCTCCCCAGCCTTTTTTTTTTTTTAAAGAATCAACTCCTTATTTTGATAATTGGCAAAGGAGGAGGAGAACATCAAGAACCTATCTCCTTATTGGTATATGAATTTTACATTCTTTACATTAAAAAAAAGCAAAAGCTGCTCTTCATAAAATGGAGGTATTCCACCTAAGAAATAGGACAGGATAGAATTAGAAGGCAATGACCTTGTATCCCTGATAACCTAATAAATTGATCCAGTGATCATCACTGGCTGCTAGCAACAACAAAAAATAATGTTATCTTGCAAGTAAGAAGTAACTGCCTCTTTATCAAAGAACACAGCATCACCCAGGATGTACTACAGGGGACTGAAAACCAAAACCTTGAGTCTAACGAGGTATCTCACTTCACCTACCTAATTACAGGAAGATCCAAGGACTGAGAAACAGGTTACGTCAGGGGGTGCAAGCACCAAAATCAAGAAGGGAATTATTAGAGACAAATATATGTTTACCTGACAAATTGCAGGGAGGGAAAAGAGGGGTCAAAGGGCAAGCCATAGCTTTTAGAACATTTTAAGATAGGATAGCAAATTGCACTGAACCTGCTTTATTGGCATACTGATTAAAAAAAAAATAAAAACTTTGAGAGAATTAGTCAAAGAAAACCCTGAGACAGGCTTAGCTATCCAATGATACTAAGGAAATATGTTTAATATTTCTAAGTCTAAAAGTGATACTATGATAATATAGGGTATTTTTAGACAAATATGTTGAAATGCTTATGGGCAGATTTACATGACAATCTCTTCTATAAATGCTACTAGCGTAACTGATACTCCTGCGGGGAAAAAAAATGATGGTGGACTCTTAGCTCACATCATATAAAAAGCAATTAACTCAAAATGGCTGAAAGCCCTTTGGAAGAGCTAAAGCTATAGAATTTGTATTAAAAAAAAAAAGAGTAAATCTCCATCAACGTTGGCTTTAGCAAGGAATTCTATTGGTAATAAAAGTACAAAAGAAAAGGTAAATAAGTTAAATCTCTTCAAAAACTTAAACTTCTGCATATTTAAAAAAGACACTATTGAAAGAGTGAAAACTAACTGACAGAGAAAATTATAAGCAAACCATTTATCTGATAAGGACCAACTATCCAGAACATATAAAAAATCTTACAACCCAACAGTGCAAAGTCAAACAACCCACTTCAACAGACAAAGGACTAACACAGTTAATTTCTCAAAAGAAGATTCACAAATATCTAACAATCACATAAAAAGATGCTCAACGTCACTATTTACTAGGAAAATACAAATAAAAACAACCCCTTAACAGCCACTGGGGCATCTACAATATTTAAAAATACACAGAAATTGGAATCCTAGATTTACAATGGGAATGAAAAATTGTATAGTTGCTACAGCATCAGTTTGTGATATCCTCAACCGATTAAACATAGAATTAACATAGGACTTGTAATTCCATTTCTAGATACATATCCTAAGGCTTCAAAATGTAAGTTCAAAAAAACTTGTACATGAATATTCCAAGTAGCCCTATTCACACAGACAAAAGTTGGAAAGAACCAAAATTCCCATGCACAAACGAACGGATAAGTGCTGTGTCAACGCCAATGCCAGAGAATAGATTCAGTTACAGAAAGGGGAGAAGCTCCTCAGCACGAGCACCATGGCTGGATGGTGACTGCTCAGTGAAAGAATCCAGAAAGCAGGATGTTCTAGGACCATATTTATAGGAAATATCCTAAATAGGCAAGTCCAGGGAGTCAGAAGGTACGTGGGTGGCTGCCAGACACTGGGGGTGGAGGGCACTTAAGTAACTACTTAGTGAATGCCAAGCTTCCTTTGGGAGGTTGAAAGGCTCTAGACTTGCAGCACGACGTTGTGAATATACGCAATGTTATCAAAGAGCTTAACATTTAGGAAAGGGGCCAGCGTTGCAGTATGGCCGATGAAACTCTGACCTGTGACTCCCGCATCCCACAGGAGCCTTGGTTCAAATTCTGAATGTACTTCCTATCCGGATCCTCGCTAACATGCCTGAAAAAGCAGCAGGAAATTGTCCCGGGACTTGAGTGGCTTCCACCCATGTGGAAAAACTGGATGGAGTTCCAGGCTCCAGGCTTTGGCCTGGTCCAAGTCCTAACTGCTGCAGCCACTTGGGGAGTGAACCAGAAGATGGAATCTCTCTCTCTCTGTAACTCCACCTTGCAAACAAATAAATATACCCTTAACAGTGAATAATACATAGGTAAGTTTTATATTTTGTGTATCTTATCAGCATTTCAAAAAAGTTTATACCTAAAAGTTCTTTCAACTCTAGAAGCAGGTGGGCATGTGGATGGAGTGTGATTAACCACAGGGTGAAGACTTCTGGGCTGGTTGCATGTTCACTAAAATGTTCTATTTTTATGTATTTTGTGGATCCTCCCCCCCCCAAAAAAAAAAACCAAAGCTAAAGAAAAATCTCCCCAGTAGCAACTTGTACAACATCAGCAGGACAGACCAAAGAAATATTCTTGAACAGAATGAAAAGAATTATTTTCTGAAGTGAGCAAAACACGTTTTGTGCCCTTTCTCTAAATCCCATTTTGAGAAACACAGTGGCCAGACCTCCTTCAAATGCATCCATTGCTCCGTGTCAGCTGGGGAAATGTCCCACCACTGAGCTCTATTAGGCCACATAATTACAGCTCCCAAGGAACGCAGTGGAAGCCTAGTGACTCCAGTCTTTCAGAATTAGATTGGACAAAATACTTTCAAATATTCAGTAGGAGACAATCCTACTCTAGCCAGGCACTAATGTCAGTGATTTCTATAATTTGCTGCTCCATTCAGCACCAGCTGAAGGCTGCTAAATTCTTTTCATCTCACTATGGAACAAAATGATTGTTAAATTATGTAATGGGATTTTTTTCCCTAACAAAAGAAAGGAAACAGCGTTTGCTAGCAATGGGTTCCTGCAACCACACGGCAACACTGATAATTGCTGCCACCACGCAGCAGGAACACTCCCTCCCTATAAGCAACCTCACCACGTTAATAAACAGCAGCAGAACTCAACATGCCAAGCCCAGCAGTGAGAAGTCAATAATTTCACATCTCACCAGTAAGAAATAATGGATCATTAATATTCTCCCCCAAAAGCAAGTTCCCAAAAAATGTATACTGGGGCAGTAATATTGCTAACATTTACTGAGAATTTACTGCATGCCAGGTACCTGGATTAAGTGATTTACCACTGTGGTTTTGTTAGTTCTCCTCCCTTCTCTTAATTCCCTTATTTATTTATTTGGAAATAGAGCTTAGTTATGGTCTAGCTTTATTCCTAATATGCACTATTTAAGTAATGGGTGCAGAGTTAACAGGATCATATTCCCTCGATAAGCCATATGACCTAGAGCAGGCTCCCTTGCCACTATCCTTGGCTCAGCATCACCCCACTTCCCCTTCATTTAGATGAAACACAAAAACTACATCAGCTCTGGAAGGTGTGATGTGAACACCAATTGTATCAATGGATCTAAAGCTCCCAGCAACCAGAAATAGCCAAATATATTTATAAGTTTGTCGTTCTTCCGTCTGCCTGTCTTTTATTATGCAGTGGTGGTGATG